CTCCTCTCCACAGCGCAGGCGCTGCCGCAGCGAGCCCAGGGCCAAGAGAGTCACACCAGGAGGAGGAGGAGGAGGATCGCGACCAGGATCGGGGCGCTACTGCTGCTGCTGCTGGTTCGCTCGCCTCCCACCCACTCAGCTCCGAGCCGGCGAGCTCTCCTGCGGGGCGAAGCACCTCCACCCCGACCCTCGGCCTGCCTGCGCGCCCGCTTCCCTCCAGGAAAGCTGATCCCACCCGCAAAGCCGGAATCCGCGCCCGGCAAGGGATCCTCCTCCACCTCGTCAGGCAGGCAGGCAGGCGCGATCGTCCTGAGTCTGCCCGGATGGCGGTCCCCTTGACAGACAGCGAGAAAAGGAAGCAGATCAGCGTGCGGGGCATCGCCGGCTTGGGCGATGTGGCCGAGATTCGGAAGAGCTTCAACCGGCACCTCCATTTCACCTTGGTCAAAGACAGGAACGTGGCCACCCCGCGCGACTATTATTTCGCCTTGGCGCACACCGTCCGCGATCACCTGGTGGGCCGCTGGATCCGGACCCAACAGTATTACTACGAGAAAGACCCCAAGGTAAAAAAAAAGGGGGGGGGGAATCGGTCCTGCACTCCTTTCCTCCCTCCTCTCCGCCCGATTCAAAGGTACCTCATCTTGCCTGCCTTTCCTTCTCCCTCCTTCCAAGAAGGCGCAGGCAACCGAAAGGTTGCCCCCCTCCTTAGATTGCCAAACATCCCCGGCTTCAGAGGTGAAAAAACCGCGCCAAGAGGAGGCCATACACGGTGTGGAAATCCCCCCCACTTTGCTGGCCAAGATGTGTTTGTGTGTCCTTTGTGTGCGCGCGCGTTTTGTCCACGCTGCGGTTTTCCTTGCAGGGAAATAGTGCGCCAAAAAGCTCCTGGACCGTGGCGAGCAAGAGCCAGGAAGGAATCTGTCCCAAGGCAGAGACATAAAAGGCCATGAAATCAATGGGAAATCTTTCCCTCCCTTCCTCACGTAGGCACATGATGGTTTTAGTAAGTATGATTGGAGTATACTGTATCTGTCGACCCCCTCAGAGTTTAGATGGAAGGAGAAATAGATTTCTGAGAGGAGAGAAGCAAAGTGCATTAAAATTAAAAACCAGGGAAATTTGCCAGTGCCTTGGAGAGATGTCTAAGCTTGAGGCCTTGGTTCTGTCATGTCAGGGTTTTTTATTATTATTATTACTTGAGGCTATGAATGGCTATCATGATGGCTGTTGCAACTTTGGGGTGGGGTGTCCAGGGGCTGATTTTTTATCGCCTTGCCTTAAGGGCTGCTTGGAGTGCCACAAATGCCCCCCCCCCCGGGCTGGGAAATGAACAAAAAAGTAAAGAGGTAAAGGCCACTTGTGAATTTAAAATAAATTGAAGGAGACAGAAACATCTTTAAAAGGTAAACCAACGGATTCTGGAGGCTACGAGGAACAGCAATACACTGTTTTCTTTTGGGGAAGTTTGGGGTGTTGGAGAAACTTCCACCACCACCCCCAGGGTCTAATCTGTCCTTCTAGGCAGCTGTTGAATCACCACCTCCTGAGAGGCAACATGTGTCTGAATACCAGTTACTGGGACACACATGTGAATGGTGGTGTTGAATGCCCAGTTTTCCCCTGTTCTGGCTGAATAGCTCAGGGAGTTCTCAGGTATCAGAGGTTGGGAGTTCAATTCCCCGGCTGTGCCTCCTGTGAGTAGAGCCAGCTTGTGTGGGTCTTGAACAAGCTGCACAGTCCCAAGGCGCCCCCAGCAGAAAGGAATGGTAAACCACTTACTGGAATACCTGAAAGGGTTGCCATAAGTCAGAATTGATGCCACATTGTTATTATTTGCAGTCTTCTAAGAGGGGACAGAAACCAGATTAGATTGGCTTTATCCTCTTCTATGTAGTCTGACAAGTCCCTGCTTGCAGTCTGAAGTGTTACACCCCCATCCGTTAGCCTCTTCTTCAGTGAAAACAAAGCTTAGGAATCTAATTTTTCCCCAGCAACATCTCTCAGGATCTCCCAACCAGGTGTAGTGCAAAAAAAAAGTCAATGTTTTTTCAAACTCTCTTCGAAAAGTAAGGATGTATGATTGAGAGTAGGGTGGCCTACTTTTATGTTTTAGTGCAGTTGTTATTGCTTCTAAGCCATTTTCCCCCTTTGTGAATATATATCTGTGTCATGGCCAATCCAAAATAAATTAGAAGCCTCTCAGCTATGTTTGCTGGTTTCCAGGAGATGTCACTCAACCCACAGGCGTTGTGATGTGCCTTATTCTGCAATTTGGGCAGTGGCTTTTTCCTCTCCCATGACAAAACGTAGCCTTTCCTGACTGCACACCAATTACAATCCCCCCCCACCCCCTGTAACCTACTGGATGTGATGGAAGTTGTAGTCCAAAACATCTGGAGGTCCCCAGGCTAGGGAAAGGTGGTAACTGAGGAAAAATCCTGCAGAATTCTGACAACTGAGGCTGTGGCCTAGTTTTCGTCTATGGTTGTGCTCTCTTTAAAAGCAAGAGACGTTGTTAGTGTGTGTGTGTGTGGCGTGAGATGATGTGGATTTTCTTTGGTAGCAGCAGGAGATCATTTTAGTTGTTGTTTCATTTTTTAAAAAATCCCAATGGATTTGGATGAATTACAGACACTTCTTCAGTAGAAAGGTAATATTTTGACAGAAAGTACCTGTCTTAAGAATCTGAAGCCTCCAGAAGTGCTTTAGAAGAAAGCAAGGAGTGGCATGCTGGATTTCTCAACGAATATCCACATTTTCCATAGCCTCTGTATGACCGAAAACCAGTGATATCCACAGAGCAGGATTTTAATCTTGAAATATATGGGTAATTGCAATCTAAACAGCATAACAAAAGCAGGACTAAAAAAAGAAAGAGAACTATTGTGTCACTTTTACTGCTAACAGACTGATTTCGGTATTAGTTTTCATGAAGTACAACGTATTTCCTCGGACACAGGAAGCACAAATAAGTCTCAGTTTATATACAGAATGTACGTGGTGAGGGCTTGAGTGGTAATGCCTCTGAGTCTGGCGACTAAATTACCCAAAGTGTCCCATCATTCAGCTTCAGAAGCACTGATGAAGGAGAATCTGCTTGAGAGACATGAACATTTTTGTTGTTGCTAAGCGCAAAACCTTGGGAAAGGAATCAACTATGAGTTCCAAGTAGACTGTAGCGGATATAGCCTTTCTTTGTTGTGTTGGCTTCCATTAAGGCCATTTGACAATCTTTATTTCTTTGTATTCACAAGGACTTTCATGGTCGGGATCTAATGATTGCTGTGGGTTTTTCGGGCTCTTAGGCTGTGTTCTGAAGGTAATTCTTCCTAATGTTTTGCCAGTCGCTGTGGTCGGCATCTCCAGCTGATCTCACAGGCATAAATACTCAATTCCCAAACAAACTGCACCAGAGCACAGGTTGCTGTCCTCTGAAGATGCCGACCACAGAGACTGGCGAAACGTTAGGAAGAACAACCTTCAGAACACGGCCAAAGAGCCTGAAAAACCCACAACAACCAACTTTATTTCTTTATTTATTCCATGAATTATGGCCCATTTGTCCTTCAATGAGATGAAGATTACTTACATTTGCACCATACTTTACCTTAACAGTAATTCTCTGAGGTAAATTGGGCTGAGAAAAACAGAGAGAGAGGGAGAAACTGACTCAGCGTCATTTTACAGAACTTCATGTTTCTAGAGGGGGAAACTTTCCCAAATTCCAATCCATCATTGTAACCACTGCCCTACACCTCTCAGTAGGAACCATAACAAGACAACTGGCCATTGGCTAATTTCTCTTCCCCAGATTTACCGAATCCTTGTTTTTCTTTTTTTTCAAATCATCTGGTGCATTAGTGATCTTTCCTACATTTTAATAGCAATGCAGGAGATTTTTCCCGTTGTCCTGTATTTATTAGGAAAGCAGGTGACTCCCTTCCAATGTTCTGCAATGTTCTGAGAGGATGATTTCTCCTAAATCACTCTTTCCACACCCCATTAGTTTTTATTGCCTTTTCTCTATTGTCTCCAGCTTAGCTTCAATGAGATCATCATTCACTGTTAGCTGAACACCACAGTGGCTTCTTCCACGCTTCTCTGCAACACCAGGCAATTCCAGAAGAATAAGAATATTTTTTTTTGGTGGGGGGCAGTGGGGCTAGAGAAGGAAGGAACACATAGTAATGAAACTCTAATCAGGAACATGCTGGTATTGTGGGATAATTACAGCTATGAGGGGATGGGCTTCCACAGGAATTGGGGGAAAAGTTGTCCAAACCTATAACTGTTTTAAAGCCTGACACCTTTCCTCGTTTGTATCTCATGCTGGATGGAAACACATTTCAAAGACAATTTCTTCCAATCACAGGCGAAACATATTTGGGAAATGTAATAACAAAACAAAACAAAAAGAGCGCGCCCCCCCCCACATATTTCTCAATCTGAATTTTGAACTAGATGGCATTGTTTGTGTCTTTATAAACAGCTAAAGTTGGTGCAAGGAAATCGACATATCTATATGGAACTATTATACTAACGACTAATGTGACATTGGTAATCTGCATGGCATAGTATAGAGCCATCTCCACCGGAAGGTTGCTTGTTCATTTCGGTTATGAGAGGGGAATTCAACGGAGAGACTAGAGGAATAGGGCAGAATTAGTTAAGAATGAATGAAAGCAGTTGAAATGAGGACAGAGGAGTTGGAAAGGAAGACGTTTGAGAAAGAGATATGAAGGAAGAGGGAAGTGATACATTGTGAAGGGATCTGTGAGATAGAGCTTGACATTTAGGGGTCAGAGAGTAGCAAAGTCCTTTGAGAGCAGGTGGGTGAGGCTGAAGATAACAGAAGTAAGACATATGTAGGACTATATGTGCTCTTTCCACTCCAGCTAGCATGCCCAATAGTCACACTGGCTGAGGGATTCCGGGAATTTTAGCCCAAAAAACTATATCTGATGTAGGCCACCTTTTTCTTGTTCTTTTTCAGCACAGAGCACAGGAGGGTAGCTATTTGCTGTCAATATGCGAGACACACGTAGGGGTCCGTAAGGTGTGTGCAAATCAGGCAGAACACCCGGAATGTGGAATTTTAAAAAACCACAAAAATCCCATCCCTAGTAGGAGCCATCCAGCCCTGCAGGGCTTTTTTTCCTGCTTTGGAGTCTGGTGGACCCTATTTTCTTTCTGATCAAAGTCTTGTCACCAGTGGAGGAGTCATGTTTCCTGGGTGGATGTTTCTTCTATAGATCAAGGGGTGGTTTCCCTTGCTTTGTTTTATTAGAAGATCTGGGTGCTAGGGTTTTTCTCCGTCCCCAAAACTGGAGGTGAGTTCTTAAACCCAGGAGAAACTTTCTAGGAATATCGGGTTTCAAAAGCATGCCTGAGCATTCTGGCACCAGAAGAAGGGCCCCAGAGCCATGAAGCTTGCTCACCCAGCCTTAAAAGAGGCATGACTTTGAGCTGAAGCTTAACATTCCTCTGTCTCTCCAAGAAGTCATTCTGGGCATCCTGCTGATATTGCTACACCAGCTCCACCTGACTGTGGAGATCTTGAGGA